TGTCCTTTAGGACATTTGCCCTACAGTGTAACATTTTTACCTTTTCTCTAACTGCCTATTTCTCCTGAGTTAATGACATTTGTGAAAGAGAAATTTTTTTAGTGCTCTGTTGACTATCTTATCCAAGAGTCTGCAAAAGAACTCATACTCTTTCTATCTTAATTGCTTTGTTTTTAATTTCCTCATATAACTGGAGTCCCTTGGGAAAGATGGCATAACCATTCATTTTTGAAACCCTTCATTTTTGATGCTATGGCATCATTTATGTCCGAATTTATTGGTTCTCTTTTCCCAGAGATGGGACTGTGCAACTCAGGTACCCTTCTGTTAGTTGGTAACAGTGCATGCCATGAGAGAAAGGGCTGAGAACAAGATGAGATATCTGGTCATGAACAAACACTCAAGAATCTGTTGTCCACCCTTGAAGTTACATAAGAGGTTGTAGATAACAATTTGGCACTCAAAATATAGAGGGAACAGACACATGGAAAATGCGAACCATAACACTTTGCAAATGTAGTAACGGGTTCAGATGGTGAATAAGGTCCCTAGGCAAAATTGGGCAGAGGAAAAATAAGAAGGCAGAGGATTGGACCCCTAAGGGAGTCAGTAGAGGGGAGAAGGAAAGGTGCCTAGAAGAAAGGGAACTAGGTGGAGACTTGGGCTTTGACCAATATGATGAGATGGATGTTTCCATGTCAAACATGAAAGTTTTTTCTAGGTTGAGTAGAGCTGTGCATATTTGAAGAAGGCTTCACTGCCTGTATTTGCAAAGAGGAAAAAAACGTGATTTTTTTCTAACTACCAATATAGTACAATACTACCGTCCTATTTAATGGATCTCCTTTTAGATGATTTCTTTATTTAGAGCAATATTATGAATTTTTGGAGAGAAACCACTAAAATATTTTTCTTACAAGCTTGTCACAAAACAGTGGGACTAGATGGGTTCCAAGGAATTCATGGGGTTGTACAGACGTATTCCTAATGCAATCCAGAAGATGTCTGTTTATTTTTAAGATGATTAGAGGAAAAAAAATTGGCAGCTTTCCTCAGTGGCCTATGATACTCTTTAATAACACTGACTTCCTTTTGTTTAACTAAAATATAAAAGTACACAGCGCTGAAATTGTCCATTGTGCCAACAGTAAATATGCTTCTTGCTTACTATAAACTTGGCTTATTTTATAGGACAAATAATACAAAATGTTGTGGGAGCCATAAACTCTTGATTTCCTGGCAATAGTCTCCCATTATTATGAATATTGGTAGATTGAAGATGTGATTTCTCAAAAGGACTTAAGTATTTTGTGCACAATTACAGGGACATTGTGTTCTATTTGGCATGAACAATTCCTGCGGTGTCAAAAGATACTATCCTTTAGAGATTAAAGGCCACTTTAAGGAAGGGTGGTAAGATTTCAGGGTATAGAAATACAATGAACTTGACCTTTACTCAAAATTTTTATTTTTAAAGAGCAGCAGTCATTTGGATGTATTATCAGCATTTATATCTCACACTAGGATGTAAAGTCATTTCTTGCCGAAAAGTGGTTTTAGGATTGAGAAACTGATGACAGCTCTGTGAGAATCCATAGAATAACATTTAAGAGACCAAGAAATTCTAGTTTGCACGCAGTTTTCACAACAGGAATAGATATCTCCAGGCCCTCCCACTGGGCTACTTTAGGGATTCACACACTTAAAAAAGTACTTACAAGTTGTCTAGTCTAGAAGCAGGGGATTGTGAGAAAGGAAGAGGTGACATGTAGGTGCCTGTTCCCATACATAAACATTTCTTCAGCAGATTTAGGTTTTCTGTGGAATAGAGCAGAAAAGCCAGAAACTGGTAGGAGTGAAACTAATAAATGAAATCCCTGTATCAATTTGGTTAACCTCTGTCAACAGGATAAAAATTAATGTCATGGTGGGTTTTTATGATCTTCTTTTGTAATAGCCCATGGCTCCCATTCCTTAAAAGATTGGCTAGACTCCTTTTGCCCTGAACTCCGAGCTTCTCCTGCCACCTCTATTTATCAAGATCTTGGAATCTGTAGGACCACATGTAAAATCACACTTGGGTTGGCATTGTCCTGTGAAGATCTTTGTTAGGAATGTAGTGCATATTTTGTTGAATAATTATTATAATTTCCTTAATGGCTCAGGCTGTTGAGCATATTTAAGTTGATTTTTTTTCAAAGCAAGGATCAATTTTGGGGCTACTATTTGAGTATAAACTCATTTTGCAGAAGAAAATGTACATTTTTCCCTGTTTAATGAAGAGAGTAGTTGTAACAAGAACCAGCTGTTCTGAAGCCTGTCCATGAGTTATTACTTAACCGCAGGTTCACTCTTCCCAGTAGCTATTATTTTGTTCTGGGTAAAATGTCTGCATATTTCTCTCCGAATGTGCTTCAACTTTTTCCAAAGTTGGCTGTTTCCTCAGCAGACATCTTATACTCCAGAGCTTCTTAATCTCCATTTTCACTCATTAGAAACATGAGAGATATATGTGAAAGATTTATACGTTTCATATTTTAAAGTTCTCTTTCTTTTAGTTGGGAAGTTTAGGATTTCTCTAAGACAAGCCTATCTCAACATTCCACCAACCATATAGGAAGCCGGGAAGATTAATGTTTATAAACAAATACTTTGGGAACAGGAAATTTTTGTTCTACTATTTCCTAGCTAATTTCTTTAAAAAAAAAAAGATTTATTTATTTATGCATACAAGAGCTGAGGTACAGGCCAGAGATGTGGGGGGGTGAGAGGACCCACGAGAGACAGAGTGGGGAACAGAACAGGCAAATTGGCTGTAACACACTGCTGAAGGGAGTAGCAGGCAAGACAGGAGAGGTCTGCTGTGCCATGTGGGTTGCTCTCTGGTTAGCCGGGGGTCGAACTTAGGCTGCAGAGGCTGCGGATTGCTTCATAGTGCGGTGCTTAACCTCTTATGCCACTAGGGAGGCCCTTTTTCCTAGCTAATTTCAGTGGCCTTTAGTTTCCTCATTTATAAAATGGAAATATTAATAGTTCTGGGGTGAATATTACATGAGTATTGTGTATATTGCATGAGATTGTGCATATGAAGAGCTAAGTACAGTGCCAGACATGGAGAGAGATCCCAGTAAATGCTAGTAATAGTGGTGAGGATGGTGGTAGTGGTGATGATAAAGGATTGAAGTCTCAGAAACTTGTATTGTGGCATTACAACATAGCATTTTCAGATAAGAAATCAGATTCCATAATCTGCAAATGGCTGTCATTAAGTCTTAAAGTGTGTGTGTGTGTGCACACATGTGCGCATGTGCATGTATGCACATGTATGAGGATGAGTACAAACGTTGCCATGTCTTATGTCCCTACATTGATTGTCAGGAGTTCTGCCTTAACAACCTTTGCTAAATCCAACACAGCTCTTAATATTGTGCAGTGCACACAGTAGGCTTTCTACAAATGTTGAATATTTTTATTCAATTAAAAAGTCAAATTCTTCTGCAAAATTGTACTAGTAAATGATATTTTGAACTCATAAAGACTTACATTTTTTTTTTATTTTTAAAGAAGAAAGAATTAAATTTGGAAATATGGCCTCGGAGATTACCTAAACCTGGCCTCTTAAGGATTCACCCTCCTCCCTGACTGCATATCACAGTGCCTGTCACATAATTGAAATGAAGTAAATGCTGGCTAATAGCTGTCTTCATCTTTGAGATCTTGGTACCAAGCAGTAGAAATTAACTTAGAGGGTTTTACTAAAAGGGTATCAGAGGGCCCACAGAATGTACGGGAAACTGCAAAATGGTGAGAGACCAGGAGAGTTTTGGCAAGTTAGGGGATAACCCAGAGCAGTGGTTTTTGTAGTAGGAAGCATCAGCTCAGCGTTCAGCCACAGGGAAGGAGAACCCAAAGTCAAGTTTCTTTGTCTGTGGATGACTAATTCCAGAGACAGAGTCCGATGAGAAGCATGTGATTGACCACGCTCAGACCACAGCTCACAGCTTGGCAACTCTGGGAGCCCGAATGAAGGAGAAAGGATCTAACCCATTGACTTCTGTAATGGGATATGGTCCCCAGGACCATCCTTTCTATGCAGCTATCCACAGAGGAGAAGCAGTTTCCAAGAAGAAGCCAGGGACTACTAGGAAAGGGCAACAGATGCTGGGTGACAAAAAATGGCAAATGCCCACCATTCCACATTTTTAATACTTTGACTCTTAACTTAGGGCATATCTGTAGTCTAGCAAGTCTTTATTTTGCCTATGCAAACCTTAAAACACATTCTGATATATTCCAGTCCTCTACATGGCCCAAAGACAGTCCTCCAAGTCATTCTCCCCCTCATCTGAGTAGGAACATCCTTCAAAAAAAATTAGATAAAAAAGCAGAAGTGGAGAATATTCATCAGTATTAGATACTAGAATGAGCTACCTTTAATTAATTTGTTTTCTTTTTCTTTTTTTTTTAAAGATTTATTTATTTATACAAAAACCGGGGTACAGGCCAGATTTGCAGGAGGGTGTGAGGATTCACCAGAGACAGAGCTGGGAATAGAACAGGCAGACTGATGAAATACACTGCTGAGGGGAGCAGCGGGTGCAACAGGAGAGGACAGGAGAGGTCTGCCACGCCATGTGGGACCCTCGCTGGCCTGCCGGGGATCAAACCAGCGCTACAGAGGCTGCAGACAGCTTCACAGCATGGCGCTCAACCACCTGCGCCACCAGGGGAGGCCCTAATTTGTTTTCTATCTAAGTAGAAATAGGTTTAAAGATATTATTTCCCATAAATTATATACAACTAACATGATCCAAGGGAAATTTTGCTGATCATTTGAAATTTGGGGCCTGAATAGGTAAAATACATTTCCTTCTATCAGAGGTAATGCTTGTGACACAGTATTTACTTTGAAAATGGCTCTGAGGTTGGAGATTGGTAGGTTTGGGGTTTTTAGAATGCCACCCTAATTTCAGGTATTATTCTTTGCTTTTATGTTATAGGGGAAAACTTACCCCTTTCGGGGTGCCTTTCCTCCCGTTTGGAATCCTATTGCATATCTGGATTACAACAATCTATGGCGAACGATGGATAACATGGGAAAGGAGGTAAAGTATATGTTTAGCTTGCACATGACCTATTACTAAAATAACAGTAGCAACTATTTATCTTTTCACAGTGCAAGGAATGTTGTTCTGGACATTGATGCATATAATTTCCAGTGCACCCAACATCACTGCCATGCTGGCAGTATTTCTGCTTTACAGATGAGGAAAATGAGTGCCAAGGGGTTATGCAATTTCTTTGAGACCACACAGCAAGAGAACCAGCATTCAAACTCAATGACTGTTACTAGTGGCTGAGTGCTTTGAACTCCATGCCACTGAGTTTTTACATAACATATTTTTACCAAGTATCTTATTGATAGTTGTCTTATCCATATGGGATATCATTGTAGGTAATAAGGGTGAGAAAAATTTGCTTGCCCCCCCCCCTTTTTTTTCACTTTGTCTTAGGCTCTGTAACACCACTTTCTCAAACCTAAATTAGGAACTTAAACTGGTTGTCAGCTTTCAATTGTCCTCATCATTATATAAAGTTTACACATACATTAATACATTATTATCATTATTATTGTAGTAGCATTAAGCCTTAGAATCCAAGGAGCCCTAACCTCACCACTATATATACATAGAATTCTGCCAATCATACATTCCAATATAGAAAGACCAGTTTTTACAGGTTCCTATGAGGCCAAGACAAGGTGGTGGGCAGTAACCAATACACCTAAATGTGGACCCTTCTTTCTCTGCAGATCCCAGCTGATGCACCGTGGGATGCCCCCCATGCTGAGGAATGGGATAAAATGACTATGAAAGATCTCATTGAAAAAATCTGCTGGACAAAGTACTCTTGACTTTAAAATTTACTTTTCTCTGCCCTTTTGATCTTTTCTTTCCTATCTTGAGCTGCAGTGTTTTCCTTAATAACTTATAGGGAAAAAGCTAAGAGGAAACCTAATGAACTTTCAATCAATAGCAGCTCTGAACACATTTTAGATACATCAGAACAGTTTTGAGCATAACATGAACCTAAAACATAAGAAAAGGAGGTGAATGAAATAGAACTTTTATATGAAAGAATGATTCACAGTGAAATGAATAATTGTGTTTTTAGATTCTTATATGTCAGCTACAGAAACATTATCAAAGATATTTAAAAAGTAGTTCAATAATGTTTATAGAAAAATATGAAACTGGGAAGCTAGTCTTTATTAATGAAGATATAATCTATATAATCTTTTTTTTTTTAAATATTAAATTTTATTTTATATTCCCCATACAATTGCAAACGCCCCATTCTGACCCAATCCTTCCCCTCCCGCCCCCCACCCCCCAAAAAGTGTCTCTGGTTCATAGTTTTTTGTTGATTTTGATTTTCACTTTCTTATATTCATTTTCCTGGTCCCTTATTTAAGTTTTCTAGATTCCTGCTATGAGTGAGACCATCCGGTATTTTTCTTTTTCTTTTTGGCTTATTTCGCTGAGCATGATCCCTTCCAGCGCCATCCATGTTGCTGCAAATTGCATGTGTTTATCTTTTTTGAATGCTGAGTAATATTCCATGGTATATATGTACCACATCTTCTTGATCCAGTCATCTATTTTTGGGCATTTGGGTTGTTTCCAAAGCTTAGCTATTGTAAACAGTGCTGCTATAAACATAGGGGTGCAGGTGCTCTTTGGAATTGATGTTTCTGTGTCCTTTGGGTAAATACCTAGGAGTGGAATTGCTGGATCATATGGAAGCTCTATGTTTAGTAGGTCCAGAAATCTCCACACAGCTCTCCATAGTGGTTGGACCAGTTTGCACTCCCACCAACAGTGCACAAGAGTTCCTTTTCTCACATCCTCGCCAACATTTGTTGTTGCTAGTTTTTTTAATATGTGCCATTCTCACTGGTGTGAGATGGTATCTCATGGTAGTTTTGATTTGCATTTCCCTGATGACAAGTGATGTTGAACATTTTTTCATATGTCTGTTGGCCATTTGCATTTCCTCTTCAGAGAGTTTCTTTTAGCTCTTCTGCCCATTTTTTGACTGGATTATTTTCTTTGTTGTTGCTGAGTCTCATCAGCTCTTTGCAGATTTTTGTGATCAGTCCTTTATCATTAGTGTTGGGTGCAAAAATGTTCTCCCAGTTGGTGGGGTTTCTCTTTGTTTTTGTTATTGTCTCTTTTGCTGTGCAGAAGCTCTTTAATTTGATGTAGTCCCAGCTGTTTATCTTTCTCTTCACTATCACTGCTTTGGGTGATGTGTCTGTAAAGACTGTCTTTGATGTGCAAATCCCGTAGTGTTTCGCCTATATTTCCTTCTATGTATTTTATGGTTTCAGGTCTTATGTCTAGTTCTTTTAATCCATTTTGAGTTGATTTTTGTGTATGGTGTGAGGTAGTGGTCAAGCTTCATTCTTTTGCATGTAGCGACCCAGTTTTCCCAGCACCATTTATTGAACAAACTTTCTTTGCTCCAATTGCATAGTCTTTGCTCCTTTGTAAAGATTAGTTGACCATAAATCTGTGGTTTATTTCTGGATTTTCTTTTCGATTCCATTGTTCTGTATGTCTGTTCTTGTTCCAATACCATGCAGTTTTGATGATTATGGCTTTGTAGTATAGTTTGAAGTCTGGGAGTGTGATGCCTCCATTTCCTTCTTTTTTTTTTCAGTAGAGCTTTGGCTATTCGGGGTTTTTTGTGATTCATATGAATTTCATCAATAATGTTCTATTTCTTTGAAGAATGCCATGAAGATTTTGATGGAATAGCATTGAATCTGTATATTGCCTTTTGGTAGGGATGGCCATTTTAATAATGTTTATTCTTCCATCCATGAGCAGGGGATGTCTTTCCATTTCTTTGTGTCTTCTTCTATTTCTTTTTAACAGTGTTTTATAGTTTCTTTGTATAGTTCCTTTACCTCTTTTGTTAGATTTATTCCCAAATATTTGATTTTTTTTGTTTCGATAATAAAAGGGGTGGTTTTTTGATTTCTTCTTCTTCAGATTTATTGTTTGTGTTAGGAAGGCTACTGACTTTTGCGTGTTGATTTTGTATCCTGCCACTTTACTGAATTGATTGATGAGTTGAATTAGGTTTTTCTGTGGAGATTTTGGGTTCTCTATGTATATTATCATATCATCTGCAATAGTGATAGTTTGACTTCTTCTTTTCCTGTTTGGATTCCTTGGATGTCTTTCTCTTGTCTTATTGCTCTGGCTAGGACTTCCAGTATTATATTGAAAAGAGTGGTGAGAGTGGACATCCTTGTCTTGTTCCAGATCTTTAATGGATTGCTTTCAGCTTTTCACCATTGAGAATGATATGGCTGTTGGCTTGTCATAGATGGCCTTTATGATGTTGAGGTATGTTCCTGTATCCCAAGAATTTCAAGGGCTTTTATCATGATGGGTATTGCACTTTGTCGAAAGCTTTCTCAGCATCTTTGATATTATCATATGGTTTTTTATATTCTTTTTGTTGATGTGTTTGGATAACGTTGATTGATTTCGGATGTTAAACCATCCTTGTGCCCCTGGAATGATCCAACTTGGTCGTGGTGAATTATCTTATGGATACTTGTTGATTCTGATAGCTAAAATTTTATTGAGGATTTTTGCATCAGTGTTCATTAGGGAGATTGGCCCTAGTTTCCTTTTTTGTGTTGTCCTTATTCGGTTTTGGTATTAGTGTAATATTGGCTTCATAGAACGTGTTTGGTATTGTCCCTTCCTTCTCAATTTTTTGGAAGAGTTTGTGAAGGATAGGCACTAATTCATCTCTGAATGTTTGGTAGAATTCATTTGTAAATCCATTAGGTCCTGGGCTTTTGTTTTTGGGGAGGTTTTTAATTACCATTTCAATTTTGCTCTTTGTAATTGGTCTGTTTGGGTGTTCTATTTCTTCTTTATCTAGCTTTGGGTGATTGTAGAGTTGTAGGAATTTGTCCTCTCCTCTAGATTGTTGAACTGTTTTCCATATAACTGTTCATAGTAGTTACTGATTATTCTTTTGATTTCTGCTGTGTCCGTTGTGATTTCTCCTCTTTCATTTATGATTCTGTGTATTTTGTGCTTTCTCCTTTTTTCCTTTGTGAGCCTGGCTAGGGGTTGTTCTAATTTATTTATTTTTTCAAAGAACCAGCTCTTGGTTTCATTGATCTTTTTGGATTGTTTTTTTAGTTTCAATTTCATTTATTTCTGCTTTGGTTTTTATTATTTCTTTTCTTCTACTGGTTCTGGGGTTTTTTTGTTGTTCTTTTTTGTAGATCTTTGAGCTTCGAGATTAGGTTGTTTCTTTGAGTTCTTTCTTGTTTTTTGATGTGAGCTTCTATTGCTATATATTTTCCTCTTATTACTGCTTTTGCTGCATCCCATACATTTAGGATATTGGTGTCCTCCTTGTCATTCAATTCAAAGAATTTTTTTAATTTCTTTTTTGATCTCCTCGTTAGTCCAGTGGTCTTCCAGTAGTGTGGCTTTTTAATCTCCATGAGTAGGATAGTTCTTGCCTTCTTTTTTATGATTTATTTCTAGTTGATGCCTTCGTGTCAGAAAAGATGGTTGGTATGATTTCAATCTTGGTGTATCTGTTGATGTTTGTCTTGTGCCCCAGTATGTGATCGATCCTGGAGAATGATCCGTGTGCGCTTGAGAAAAATGTGTACTCCGTTTTTTTTGGGTTTAGTGTTCTATAGATGTCTGTTAAGCCCAAATGCTCTAGGTCCTTATTTAGAGCTTTAGTTTCTTTCTTATTTTTTGTCTGTTGATCTATCCATTGTTGATAGTGGTGTGTTGAAGTCTCCCACTACGTATTGTTTTTCTGATGTCTGTTTTTCAGAGAGGACAACAGTTGTCTGATATATTTTGGTGCTCTTTCGTTTGGTGAGTATAATGTAATGAGTGTTATTTCTTCTTGAAGTATTGTCCCCTTAATCATAATGTAGTGACCATTGGGGTCTCTTTTTATTTTTTTGAGTTTGAAGTCTGTTTTATCTGATATAAGTATAGCTGTTCCTGCTTTCTTTTTTGGCCCATTTGCTTGTAGGATTGTTTTCCATCCTTTGACTTTGAGCCTATTTTTATCTTTTGTAGCTAAATGTGTTTCCTGGAGACAGCAAAAGGTTGGGTTTTGTTTCTTAATCCAGGCTGCAACTCTGTGTCTTTTTATTGAAGAGTTTAGTCCATTTACATTTAGAGTTAATATTGATATGTTAGCATCTGTATTTGCCATTATGTTTGTCTTTCCTTTGATTTTATTTATTTATTCTTTTAATAACTTTTTTTTTTTTTGGTCTTCTTTCGTTGTTATTCGTCCCTGAGGTTCTGGCTTTAGGATTCCTTGTAGTATTTTTTGGAGTGGGGGTTTAGTCGCAATGAAATTCCGGAGTTTCTCTTTGTCTGGGAAGGTCCATATTCTTTCTTCATGGAGGAAGAGAGCTTTGCGGGATAGAGTATTCTTGGTTGGCATCTGTTTTCCTTGGAGTCTGTTGACTATGTCCCTCCACTCCTCTCCTTGCCCGTAGTGTTTCTTCAGAGAAGTCTGATGTCAGCCGATTGGTTTTCCTTTGAATGTTATCTGTTTCTTACCCTCTTGTCAGCTTCATATTTTTTTCCTTGTCCTGGATTCTTGGGAGCTTACTATTATGTGTCTTGCTGTGTTTTTCCTTTCGTCGTGGAAGTTTGGTGTTCTTCTTGCTTCTTGTATATCAATTTTCAGCTCCTTCTTCTCATTTGGGAAGTTCTCTTCAATTATTCATGAATATTTTCTCTGTTCCTACATCTCTCTCCTCTCTTTCTGGAATTCGTATAACTCTTATATTTTTTTCTCATGGAGTCAGATAGTTCGAAGGTCTTTCTTCATTCTTTTTCCTTCGTACTTCTCTTTCCTTTTCTGTTTTGGTTCTTTTTATTTCTGTGTCTTCAAGATTACTTATTCGTTCTTCCATTTCATCTATTCTGCTTTCATTGCTTTTCCCAGAGTTCTTTAGTTCCTCCATTAATTCCTTTGATCTCCTGCATTTCTCTTACTTCCCCTCTTTAGGGACTCAATTTCCTTCTTCTGATCTATCAACTTTTTTAATCATGGCAATTTTAAATTCTCTTTCTGGAAGGCTCAGAAGTTTCCAAGTTGCTGTCGTTGCAATCTGGGGAGTGGTTTTCTTTTTGTGGTGTGCTTCTTTCCTGAGGAGTTGTTAGGTTGCGTGTGGTTCTTCTACTCCCTACTGTCTGTTTTCTAATTTGTCGTATGCGTTGGGACACTGTGTTGCTCGGACTGACTGACATCTTGGGTGAACTTCTCCGCTCCCCTCTGGCTCTTCCAGGAGCCATCTCTGTCTTCTGGGGGAGCTTTCTGCTGGTTTTAGGCAGTTTTTTACTGAGAAATGTCCCTGTTCTCAAATGGCGAAGCGGGATGCAGTCCCTGCGCTCCGGTTTTTAGGCACACTCTTCTGCGCCCCCGGTCTGCCCCGGACGTGGGTGCCTGCTCCCTCTGTGGGCTCAGACTGCTGGTCGGAAGGGGCCTGGCGTGGGGTGGGCTAACTTCCCGGCTGGCCACTTGGTCCTCCAGAAGCCTTCTGCCCTTTTCAAGCAGTCTTAAGAAATTTCCTGTTCTATGGGGTGTTAGTGACTTTTTTTCCTGGTCACTAGGTGGCGCCAGAGATCTCTCCTATTGTCCTTGGGGGGGCTGTTTTTCGCCCCCCCCCACCCTGTGGGACAGGGAACAGAGCGGGAATGGTAGGGTAAACCTCAACAGCTTTGGGGTGCTGTGTCTGCCTTGTGCCCCACCGTCGTGGGGAACCCACGCCCCTAATTTCGTGCCCCGGGTCTCAGTTCAAAGCCCTCAGGTCCAGGACACAGGCTGTAGCCCAGTTCAGTGGCGCGGGAATGGCGCCTTTTGCACACGGCTCCCGTGCCTGGGCGCCTGGTTCCTGCTTACTCAGGGAGGGACCTTCACCTCAGTGAGGACCTCCGCGCGTCTCCCCGCAAGCCTAGGTCGCAGGCGCGGGGGCCTGGGCCGCTGCGATCCCGGTCCGCGTTTTCTTTTCAATTGCGCCAAGCGCGCTGCTTTCCCGCGCAAGCTTACCGGCAGACCGGGCTGGGTGCGCGTCTCAGGGGGTCTTTGTTCTTCTCTAATGGCGCCCGGAGCCGTTCGCTCCCCGCGCGGCGAATTCTGCAGGGTTCACCTCAGCTCCCGTTCACGGGGTGTGGTGGCTGCAATAGTTCCTTTCCACTCACAGTCCCGCTTGCTGTGTCCGTTTTTCTTGTTGGCCGTTTTGGTTTGTTGTTTCCCTCCTCTCTGCCGGTCGGAGTGTGCCGCCTCTGTGGGCGGGGGAGGGGAGCAGGGTTCTGCGCTTCCCTCCCCTCTAGTCCTCTTTTATGGCCACTTTCTTCTTCGGGCAGTTCGCTGGCGTCACCCGTTTATCTTCCGTGTCCCAGTTCTCACTGGGACCTGCCGCTTTTCCTCCCTATTCACTTTTTTTAATGGGAGATCTTACTCGCAGCGTCTCCTCGCCGCCATGTTGCTCCTATATAATCTTTTCAATTAGAATCTGCATTAGCTGAGTTAACTTACAGTTCGTTCAGTCAGCATTTTGAGCCTGGGATGTGAAAACACTGGGGAATGGTAATGAAGTAGTTGGCATGGCCCTATCCTCAAGAAGTTTATAATCTTCTAGCAAAATAGACTGACAATATACCCATATATACGTAATGTATGGAGAATGGCTATAACAGGGGCCCTGACCTGTCTGAGGGTAAAGGAAAGATTCCTAGTTGAAGCAATCTTTATACATAAACTAAAGAGTTCTTGTATCAATTAAGATGAGCCAAGAAGCAAGGTGTAGACTGGGAAGGGTAGATTGGCATGGGGCCATGGTATCTTCCAACAGTGAGACACAGTGACTAGAGGTAGGTAATAGGGTGGTTCAAGGGTGTTGTGGGATGGTATCTTTCATTAATGAGCCACAGTGTATATTGGAGACAAGAAGGATGGGTGGGTATCTTCTAGGAATTTGGCACAGTAGATGGAGGAAAATGAAAGTGTGGGGCTATGGAATCTTCCAGTAATAAGCCATAATGGATGGGGTAATCAGGAAGGATGGACAGTTGGATGGATGGTTGGTCCTGGAATGAACCACCAGTGGATTGGGAGCTAGGGGTGAAGACAGGATGAATGGATAGTGTGGGGATTAGCTCTTCAAAAAGGAGCCACTGTGGATTGGGTGCAGACATGAAGGGTGAAGGGTATGGGGAGATGGTATCTTCTAGGAATGAGTCACAGTAAATGGGCACAGAGAGAGAGGAAGGATGGATTGTATAGAGCATAGTGTCTTCCAGGAAGGTACACAGTAGGTGTTGGGAGACAGGATTAGTGGAAAGTATGGAGTGATAGTAACTTCCAGGAGTGAGCCAACATCAGAGATTGTGTTGTAGAATAGATAGAAGATGTGATAAGATAGTATCATTCAGGAGACAGAGAGTGAGAAAGAGAAATCCTCCAGTAAGAAGCTACAGTGGGTATGGGGGAGAAAGGAATTGTGGAGAGATAGGCTCTTCCAGGAATGGGCCACAGTAGATGGATTGAGGGGGAAACAGAAGATGGATGCTATGGGAAATGCTGTCTTCTTGCAAGGAGCTACAACTGATGGGGATAGATAAGAAAGAGAATATTTTAGGGAATGGTATGTTGCAGAAATGTGTCATAATGGAAGGATGGATTAATGATGTTGATAGATGACACAATCCAGAATAAACCATGATGTATGTGAAAAAACAGGAAGGATGAATGGTATCATCCAGAAATGAACCACTGTGACTGGAAGTAGAAGGCAACGTGAAGGATTATGGTATGGGAAAGGGGAGGTGGTCTCCTCCACAAAAGAGCCACAGATGATGATGGGAGGCAGGATATTTGCTTGTATGATACCTTCTAGAAATGAGCCACAGGTGACTGGAGAGACAAGAAGACTTGTGTAATGGTATGTTCGAGGAATGAGCCACAGTGGATAAGGACAAATTAGAAGAGATTATTGGTGTCTTCTAGGAAGGATCCAAATTGGATGGTAGACAGGAAGAAGGATGGCTGGGGAGGATTGTGTATTCTAGGAATGAGCCACAGTGGATTGTGGTAGACAGTAAGGACAGTGGTCTGAGGAGATGGTGTCTTCCAGGAATGTACCACAGCAGATGAGGACAGGTGAGGTTATAGTGTAGGGTATGGATTATTCTGGGAATGATCCCCAGAGAATCAGTGGACAGTATGTGTTGATCTGGTGGGTGGTATTTTTCAGCAGTGAATCACAGTGAGCAGGGGAGACAGGTTGTGTAGATGGTGTGGCTAGGTATTTTTCCAGGCTCAGAGGACAGGTGACAGCTTTTATGAAGGCCCTAAGGCGGGGAAACAAGGACATTTTTTAGCAGTGAATCTGTATTATACTTGGGTCATAAAGATGACATGATGTAATGGGAGGTTGGGGAACTGGTCAAGAGGCTGATGGTGTAAGATATTTTGGTCACATTCAAGATTTTTCATTTTGCATGAAGGCCATTGAAGGATTTTAAGCAGAGGGTTGTTTTGATTTTGTGCTTTTAAATGACTTCCTTGGCTGTAGTGTGAAGGAGGATACAAATGGGCATGTGGGATGACCAATGGGGAGTCACCACTGTTGTAACCCAAGTGAAGGACATTGGTAACCTGGACCCAGGGTGGGGGCAATGGAATTGGAGAGGACAGGTTAGTTGTTTAAATAACAAATATCTTGATTGTTCCCTGACCCCTTATTTTTTTTTTTAAATATTTGTTTATTTATGCATACAAGAACCGGGGTACAGGCCAGAGGCATGGGAGGGTGAGAGGATTCACCAGAGACACAGCGGGGAGCAGAACAGGCAGATGGACCGAAATACACTGCTGAAGGGAGCAGCAGGCGCGACAGGAGAGGTCTGCCGCGCCATGTGGGACCCTCGCCGGCCGGGATCGAACCGGCACTGCAGAGGCTGTGGGCAGCTTAACAGTGCTGTGCTCAACTGCCTGTGCCACCAGGGGAGGCCCTATTCCCTGACCCTTTAGACTGATCTGGGATTAGTGTATTTGGAGCTAGACCATAATTTTGTAGAAGCAAGGGGAAACCTTATTTTTCCCAAGAGTTAAAAAAAGCATTCTTTCAAATAGTGAGTTTATGAGTTTCTTTTTTCCAAAAGCAGTAGAATTACTTTCTAACCTCACTAATTTGTGAATTAAAAGCATATCTTCTGTGAAGCATGTCTATTTATGCTTGACTCCATCTCTTGTTGTGTAATCAGGACAGCTAGGCAGTTTGCCTCTCTCTTTGTGAATATCAATGTGACTTCCGAGCCTCATGAAGTCTCTGCCCTGTGGTTCCTGTGGTACGTGAAGCAGTGTGGAGGCACCACTCGGATATTCTCAATTACCAATGGGGGCCAGGTATGGAGTGTTCCTTCTTAGGCCAGAACTTCATTTGTGTTTTGCCCTCACCCACAGTAGCATCTTATTAATTGCTTCTGTGTTTTGAAACATAAATAATTTGTAGTGTGACATGATCTCAACAAACTCTTCTAAAGGCAAAATTGCCCATTTCCTTTTCTCACTCCTGAAAATAAGCTCATAACTAAAGAATATTTCATTTGGAAGTAATACTAGGTTTTGAGAATTAATTTCCTTCCTTTGAGAGGTAGGTAAAATTAGACTATTTAAATATGAGGAGATCAATTACTAAAATAATTTCCCAAAAAGTCTAGTACCTGTAAGGTGACTGTACTTAAAGTCATCTCTATTCTAGACATAAGTTTTTTGTACTATTCTGTACCTCAGAGATACTCTTCTATGTTAACTTATGAAATGAAAGTGACTGTTATTTACTTCTTCAATAGTAAATTTTGCATTTTTGATTCTAAATATTTGCTGCCCACTTGTGTTTGCTCAGCCTCCATACCACTTCTATTACTGCTGAGTGAACTTGTTGGTTCATTGGCTAGACGCAGAGTCCTAATTTCTTATTTTCTGGATTCTGAGATTCTTTGTTTTCAGATTCTCCTTCATCAAGAAAATGAGAATATCCTTTCTAAGACTGTTATTTATGCCTAGATGGCATGGGGTTTTATTAAAAGCAGTTTACTTCTAGCTTGTGCTCTGCTCCATAGTGCAAAATATAAACATCCTTCTCTGCTAAGTAAATTACTCCTCTCTTAGGAGATTTCCACATCTCCCCAAGTTGTTCTTCTGACCCCAAGAGCTATTGCTCATTTGACCCTTATCTATCCAAACAGGAGAGACTTGCATTTCAGAGTGTCTTTACTTACAGGCAAAATTCCACATTACCCCTATTTCACTTTCTGAGGTATCTTGACTCATTTTTTTTATTTATGGCCCTCATTCAGAGGAACCAAGATACATTTAGCCTAACTCTACATGACCTTTTAGAAAGAAAAGTTCAGTTTTAGAACTAACAGTTCATGACCTGTTATCACAATATTGTTACAAGAAACTTAGATTTACCCTTCAGTAATTAATTCAACAAATATTAGAGAAGATCGTGAACAAGATGGATTTTGTTCATGGTCTTTCAACTGTATTAAAATTCAAAGTAACTCTTGGAAAACAGAGGTCAAATTATAATTTTTTTTAAGATTTATTTATTTATGCGTACAAGAGCTAGGGTACAGGGCAGACGTGTGGGGGGTGAGAGGATTCACCAGAGACAGAGTGGGGAACTGAATAGGCAGATTGGCTAAGTACACTGCTGAGGGGAGCAGCGGGCGAGTCAGGAGAGGTCTGCTGTGCCGTGTGGGTTGCTCCCTGGCCGGCCGGGGGATTGAACTCGTGCTGCAGAGGCTGCAGACAACTTCATAGGTTGTGTCCCAACCCTTTGAGCCACCAGGGAGGCCCTCAAATTATAAATTAAATGATGCCATTTTCCGAGGAAAGCAAATCCATGAATTTAGGTCTGAACTACTATGGGAATATTTTTATAAAGAACCTTTTATTATAAAGGTGTCATTAGAACAATAGTCAGTTATAAAAGCACAAAAATCACTGCATATCTGTTCATTCCACATTTTCTGCAGGTGTGCAATTGAGGTACCTAATTGTCATATGTTGGGCTCTGCCTCAGTTTATCTAAGTGTATTTGTAACCATTCAAAAAATCATCTACAGTAGTCTAAAAATACTCCTCTGAGTCTCATAATTTGAATTGTAAGTCTCATAACTTGAATACTTAATTGCAAATTAAGAATTTGCCTTCTAGATTAAGCTGGAACCATTTCCAAGATGAGAATAACAGATTGCTATGAGGCAGAGCACTCCTGGTCTTACCAGCCTGTTCAAGGGAGCTAATTATTTAATTAGGTTAATTAATTAAAAAGTAACAAAGTCCCCTAGGGCTCCCTCCTTTCCCAGGGCTCCCTCCATACACTGCACTAATAGGCACTTAAAGCCTACACACTTGCTGATATTTGCATTATTGTAAAGGTGGCACTGATGTCAGGGAACACTGCTTTGTGTTCTGTGGCTTCGTAAAATAGTAATGGCTTTCTACTGCTGGAAGCTGTGCACAGCATGATTGAGGTGTCCTGGTAGAATGTACCTCTGTGCTAGCTCCTCCAAAGTTAAGTGTACAGAGTGTGGAGGTATGGCCTGTAACTTTCTGGAGGTTTTCTTTTTTTCTTTTAAAGATTTATTTATTTATATAAGAACCGGGGTACAGGCCAGATGTGCGGGACGGTGAGAGGATTCACTAGAGACACAGCGGGGAATAAAACAGGCAGACTGACGAAATACACTGCTGAGGGGAGCAGTGGGTGCAACAAGAGAGGTTTGCTGCACCATGTGGGATTCTCGCCAGCCAGCTGGGATCGAACCTACACTGCAGAGGCTGCGGACAGCTTCACAGTGCAGCACTCAACACGCTGTGCCACAGGGAGGCCACCTCTGGAGGTTTTCTAATCAGCGCGAATAATGATTTTCCTTCTTCCAACCTGTATAACCTTTCCTTTCTCACTCTTCATCCTTAGGAACGAAAGTTTGTAGGTGGATCTGGTCAAGTGAGTGAACGGATAATGGCCCTTCTTGGTGACCGAGTAAAGCTGAGTTGTCCTGTCACCGGTGTTGACCAGTCAGGTGAAAACATCATCATCATAGAGACATTGAATCATGAAGTATATGAGGTAATTCACTTAATCAAAAAGAGCATATATTAAATAGACCTTGTGTCTTCTGTGCCTTCTGCTTATGATCTGAGCAGTAATATAATAAACACTGACATGTTTCTGGCTCAGTCTTTGAAATTACCAGTCTTGACATCCCTTGTTCTGTTTTGTTGCCTTTCAGTGGCCTAATTTTTATGTTATTACTGTTTATTACTGTTAATTTTTATGTTATTACTGGCTCACATCTGAGGTGGTATTTTGTATCTATGTGTTTTAGTGCAAATATGTCATTAGTGCCATCCCTCCAACCTTGACCACTAAGATCCACTTCACACCCATGTTGCCATCAGAGAGGAACCAGCTAATTCAGCGTCTCCCAATGGGGGCTGTTATCAAGTGCATGATGTATTACAAGGAGGCCTTTTGGAAGAAGAAAGGTAAGCTGCTGCTATTCATGTTTAAATTGTACTTAGTGGAAGAATCATACTTTCTTAGGAATATTATACTAGACACTAAAACAAAAAATGAATAATCTTTCCAAATTGGTGATAAAAGATCAGAAATCACAGTCCATTTCCTCATAGCCCCTGGCAACACAAAATTGCCCCAAGAGCCCTTGCTGACATTGGGAGGGGAGGGAGAGATCACATCAGTTGCAGGGCTGCCATTGCCACCATGGAAAGGCACTGCTTTGAAGTCACACATACCTGGACTTCACTTGCTTATTCAATATGTGGCCTCAGGCATGATATTTCTTTCACCTTGTTCAGTGTCAGTCTCTTGTTGTAAAATATTGAGAATAAGACCTACTGTCAGTTTGTGGGGAGAAGGAAATGAGGCACGTTCTAGGAGGATATGGTGACCTGCTCATATTTTCAGAATCTTCCTTTAATTTCTTCCATGGGTTCCTGGGTTGACTCCCTCTGATACATCTCCATTTCTTCGAATTCTACAGGACCATCTTACTAATTTAGCCATGCATTGGATGTATGTGACCTTTATGGAAAGGTCATCAAAGATGGGTCATTTTCCATATGTCTGGGTGAATAGACACCTTTGAATTGTTAGTGTATATTTAACAGGGAGTGGCTTCTAAGGTTGGGGTAAAGGCCAGTATTTTAAGATGTGCCTTTCTTAGCAAAATACATATATAATTTCTGCCCCTAAGTCTCAGATGAGGTCAGTCTAATCTAGGGATTTTCTTCTGGTTAAGATTACTGTGGCTGCATGTTGATTGAAGATGAGGAAGCCCCAATTTCAATAACTCTGGATGACACTAAGCCAGATGGATCACTCCCTGCCATCATGGGGTAAGTCCTGCATTTTCCAAATCATGCAAGTGATTGGATGCTGGCAGAGTCTATATTGTTTCAGAATTGAGCTCAAGCAATGATAAATAACCCTATAGAAATAAATTAGGTTTCCATTTATTAAAATATTACAGTGATGTTTATATGTGGCATAAAAACACTGAGAAACTTTACTAAAATAGAAATCATCTTGAACTTGTGCCTATATATTTATTTTTCCCAATAAAACTTACACGTTGGGCCTCCCTGGTGGCGCAAGGGGTTAAATCTCAGCACTATGAAGCTATCGGCAGCCACTGCAGCACGAGTTCTATCCCCGGCCAGGGAGTTAACCCACATGGTGCAGCAGACCTCTCCTGACTTGCCTGCTGCTCCCCTCAGCAGTGTATTTCAGTAGATCTACCTGTTCTGCTTCCCACTCTGTCTTTGGTGAATCTTCTCACCCCCCACACCTCTGGCCCACAATCCAGCTCTTGTATGCATAAATAAATAAATCTTTAAAAAATAACTTACACATTGAAGACAAAGTATAAGAAACAGCTACACAGGTGATATGGTAGACAGCCCTGCTTAGAAGCAGAATGTCCACAACTGTTCTGGAATGAGAACTGTTTTTCCCGTAAAACCTTCCCAATGTAGGGTTTCTGGCCTTTGTCCTTTTCTCCATTGCAAACATCTGCTGCACAGCAAATGTTAATTGGTAGCCTGAAATAGAAGATTGATGACCAATTAGGAAGTGCGCTTGGAGGCTAACCCAGGCCTTGAATGGATGGTACTTTTCCCAGTAGATCATTTCACAGCTCTCCCTCACCAGAGGTGGTCTAGGGTGAGGTTCTGTGTCTGGAAGGAGAGACTTTTTCCTCTCATCTCCCATCCCTGCACACACTGCTCTGTCCTTTGGAGACTAGAAATCCAGATAAAGAAGTGGGGCTCTCACAAAAGGATTGCTAAGGAGTTCTGTAACCTCCTGTTGCCATGTTTTGTAGCCCTGCTCAAAATTATACAAACAAAAGAACTCTTTGTTCCACAGCAAAAGAGCACAGCTTCTGTAATAGTGACCTTTAGAGACCAGTGGTTTCCTCTTTCCCCCCTGGGAAATGCGTGTCTTGTGTCTTCTAGGGAGCAGAAGAGAGAGTTGAGCTCATGCACATTGCATCATTTAAGGGGAATTACAAAACCAAAAGGACCCAACCAACTTAGAAAGCAGGCTGTGCAGCAGGGCTGCCAATGAGGCATTTTGAAACCACTTATGTGGCGGGAAAATAAAAAAGAGCACAAGCCTCCCTGAGAAGAGCAGGTGCTTGCAACTGAATGACCTCTAACCTCACTGGGCAATACAGGCTATGGATTGTTAGTTCTCCATCATCTATATGCCAGAGGAAAGCCAGAGTGTTGAGGCAGAGGTTTTAGATAGTCAGTCAAAACCAATCCAGCTGTGGGTGGAAAGACGTTGATGTTCTTTTTGCCCTGGGAGTTAGGTATTGTGCCATTTGCTCTTCTGGACTTTCTTCAGCTTTAACTAACAAGGACATACAGGGCAGGTGTCTTCCAGATAATAGGCTTATTTAGACAGGCTTAAAAAAGTGATTTCTGATCTGTTTTATCTGGAGAATTGCCCCACAATGTTCTTATCTTGAAGATATATTGTCTCCACCCTATTCTTTTCTCTGGGCAAGGAATGCCTTGAAAGTTGGGGGTGGGGGTTGATTGCCCAGCACTGTGTGATAACTACTACCTTTTGAAAACTAGAAAGGACTTTGCACTTTAGAACTGTCAATTGTCCCCAACCCAAAGCCAGCATGTTTAATTTTCTCAGTAAAATCGTTAAAGGAGGGTTGTCCTTTAGTTAGATGGTTAGAATTAGATCATAAAGGTTTATTTCATTCATGACTTGAAACTTGACAGAGACAGCCAACACTAACTGCCCTTGGAAATGGAAATGTAAAAAGCACCCAAGATCTAAAACGGTTTTCAGATAAATCATTTAATATTTCATCAGCTATTCATAATTTTCATTGAAATACTGCATAAGTCTAAAATGTTTGATTTGTGCTTAAACCTAAAATTTAACTAAAGCCTTTACTAGCAAGCCATAACATCAAGCAAAATTATGACACTGTCCCATAAAGTTCAGTAGCTCAAATTTCTTAAACAGTCCACAGCTTCCTCTGAAATGCTGTTCTCTAGATTAACACAAATTCATCACTTCTCAGAATGATCTCAAATAACAGCCCTAAAGAAATTGCCAATCAAGTTTAAGGAACATTTTATTTTTGGAATAGGGGAGAGGATGACATGCCTGTTTTCAGCCCTTGCATTTTCAGTCCTGATCTACTTGTCTTTTGGTGTAGAATAAAAGAATATGATTTAATTTTTTTTAAATGGAGAAATAATTTCATTATCATTTAGCTCATTTGGATTTTGAAAAGCTTTCTAATGATAGTAATAACTAAGGGCTTCATGTCACAATTCTGAAGTGAAAATATATTATTGAGCAAATGAATATAATAAAGATTCCAGCAGAACTTCGAGCCCAGGTGCAATGAACACTCCAATGCAGGCATAATCAACAAGTTTGCTTACTTACAGCTCCTTCCCTTTCAAGATTCATGGCCAGGGCCTCAGCACTCTTATCTACAAGATCGGGCAGCCAACCAGCTGGTCTGTCTCTCCAAGGCCATCCCCCAATGCCTGCACCTTTCCCCCTTGCCTTCCCCCCTTTTTCTGGGGACTTTGCAGCAATAGCTGTGCCTGCTGAAAAACGATGCTATCAATGTAACAGATATGGACACTGTTGTGTATAAAAGGAACCCTTGGTCTTTAAACCGGTGCTCAGACCCAGGTCTGGGACCTCATGCATGAGTAATAAAGCTTCTCCTGAACTCACCATTCCTGAAGTACCACTTGTTCTTCCTCTGCCTGGGTAAAAGGCTAGAATTCATTTCTATAATTCAATTCTTTAGAATATATATGTAGTTAATATCATCAGTATAAAAATAGAATATATTTCACTAAAGGGAAGCTGATGAATTATAACTGAGTTACTGAATTTGGGGACAGTGCTAGGCCATTTGGGAGAGCTCTGCAATGGGGTTGCCCTTCAGCAGTGTCCAGCACCGAGGCAATGGGGTGGGCCTTGGTACCCACCACAACTCTGAGCCAGCCATTCTGGGGCAGGTGGAGACCTTGAGCCTGGTAGTTCTCTGCTACAGAGTGGGGTTGATGGGGAATGGTTTGCCTATAAGCTCAGGGTAATGGGGCTTAATCCTGAAAGGTGACCTGGGTGGCCTACCATGGTCACCTTTACAGACACTTGTTAATATTTGTTATTCCAGCTTTTACCAGGTATTGGCACAGGGCAGCAGTCATTAACTGCATGAAAATTTAATACAACATTAATCTTTTAAACACTTGATTTCTTTTTTTATGTAATTTTTTTTCATCATTGTTCATTTTTTTAAAAGATTTTTTATTTATTTTTGTACAAGAGCTGGGGTACAGGCCAGAGGCGTGGGAGGGTGAGAGGATTCACCAGAGACAGAGCAGGGAGCAGAACAGGCAGATGACAGAAATACACTACTGAGGGGAGCAGTGGGCGCGACAGGAGGCAAAATACCATGTGGTATTCTCGCCAGCCAGTAGGGATCTAACCGGCACTGCAGAGGCTGCGGACAGCTTCACGGTGCTGTGCTCAACCCGCTGCGCGACCGGAGAGGCCCCCATCATTGTTCATTTTTAAACAGTATTTCCTCCCCTCCCCCTCAGGTGTAGTCCCCATAGAGTTTCCTTCACCAATGCACCCGTGCACCATCACCTCAGTCCCCTGTGCTCCTCCCTCCCTCCCTCTGATCCCTCTCCCTCCTTCTCTTCTGCAGGATGTCTCTGATTTATAATCATCTGTTTTTGTTTTGTTTTTTTTTTGTGTTGTTATTATTTTTTTACACTGCTGTCTTATGTGGTTCCCCTATATTCCTGCTATAAGTGAAACCATCCGATATTTTTCTTTTTCCTTCTGACTTATTTCACCAAGCATAATTCCTTCTAGCTCCATCCACGTTGCTACAAATGCCATGAGTTTATCTTTTTGGATTGCTGAGTAATATTCCATTGTGTATATATGCCACATCTTCTTGATCCAGTCATCTATTTTTGGGCATTTGGGTTGTTTCCAGGTTTTACCTATTAGTGCTGCAATAAACATAGGAGTACAGGTGTTCTTTTGAATCACTGTTTTTGTGTCCTTTGGGTAGATCCCTAGTAGTGGAATTGCTGGGCTGTATGGTAGCTCCATTTTTAGTGGACTGAGGAACCTCCAGACAGCTTTCCATAGTGGTTGGACCAGTCTGCACTACCACCAGTAATTCAGTAGAGTTCCTTTTTCACCACATCCTCACCAACATATGTTGGTGCTTGTTTTTTTTGATATGTGCCATTCTTTTTTTTTTTTTTAAAGATTTCTTTATTTATACAAGCACTGGGTATAGTCAGAAGTGCGGGAGGGTGAGAGAATTCACCAGAGCGGGCAGCAGAACAGGCAGACGGTGGCAGGAGAGGTCTGTACACCATGTGGGACCCTCGCCAGCGGCCAGGGATTGAACCGGCACTGCAGAGGCTGCGGGCAGCTTCGCAGCCCAGTGCTCAACAGCTGCACCACCGAGGAGGCCTGATATGTGCCATTCTTATTGGTGTAAAGTGGTTTTAATTTTCATTTTTAATTTTCATTTTAATTTTCATTTCCCTGATGATAAGGGATGTTGAACATTTTTTCATATGCCTGTTGGCCATTTGCATTTCCTCTTTCGAGAAATGTCTTTTAAGTTCTTTAGCCCATTTCTTGTCTGGATTTAAACACTTGATTTCTTATTGTAAGCAAGAACTGTACTAAATGATAGGGGCAAAATATTGAGTTGGAGGTGACCTGCCATTTAAAAGCCCACATCGTCATAAGGGATTTTAGACACAGAAGCAGGGGCATTTGCTCTAGTAGAGGGACTTACTCGGAGGATGTGGGAGAGCTCATTTATACTGAGTAGGTAGAGACAAAAGCCCTTCAAAAAGGGGCAAATTCTTATAGGAAGAATGTAGGGCAACCAAATAAGGGATCAGGAAAAAAATAATAAAAAAAATCAACAGGCAACTATATCAGAGACATTCTGCAGGGTAGGAGGAAGGAGAAGGATCAGCACAAGGGCAGGAAGTGCACAAGGGACTATGGTGATGCTGCACGGGTGAATGAGTGGTGGGAATTTCACAGGGACTACATCTGAGAGGAAAAAAACACACATTGTACAAAAGTGAAGAATGATGTAAAAAATACATAAAATAAAAAAGGGGCAAATTCTTAATATAAACAGCTGTAATCTGATTGTTCTTATGTAATCTCTCTTTCCAGCTTCATTCTTGCCCGAAAAGCCGTCCGTCTCTCCAAGCTCCATAAAGAAATAAGGTAGGAATTTACATCTGAAACACAAACAGTTCACTTTATATTGTGCTTGTTGCACTAACAGCAGTATAACACATTATGAAAAACCCAATAATTCTCTATATTCTCAAAGTCCCAACAAATCAACCTTTTTGTATTTTGCAATAGTTCTCTTGACTCTGTTGTTGCTATTGAGCATATATTAATGTAATTTTACATACCTGTGTACCTGTGTTAATTTTACAGTGGTTGAAAGATAGGGTTTCTTGTAAGATGGATGGAGAAAAATCTTAGAAAAAATTAGTTCTGACCTTAGAGGCCTGAGTCCCCATCACTTTGCAATGCCATTATCACCTTTCCAAGGTTTTCTGACATGTGTGTCTTTTGAAGATCAATTCCATAAATACAGATTTTGTAACCAGTTGCAACTTGCATACATAAAAGTATTCCCCACTGATTATCTAGGCCACAACTGTGATACTCTTTTCACCCAAGAGCTTCTTTGTATAAAACAGTTATATAGGGCAGTGGTTTCCCCCTCCCCTTTCTGTTTCCATTTCTCTCTTTCTGACTTGTTATATTTGTTTTATTTTGTTTTGCCTTGGAATCTTTTGTTCATATAGAAATCTGACTTCAGAATTTAGGCTACCAGAGGGAGAGGGTGGGAGGTGGGATCAAAGGGGTGGCGGGACCCAGTAGCCTATGGTGGAGGACTATAGGTGTTTTGGTGGTGATTGTGGTGTAGTAACATAACATCTAAAGAGGTGTGCGTGTGTATACCCAATCATATAGTGTTGCAAACAAAAGTTACCTCAACAAAAATAATGCAATTAAAAAAATCTTAACTGGAACTCTTACCTGGAAATAGTCATTTTAACTGTTGGGAAACTGCCTTGGGAATTTCTGGGCTTTCCATTCTTTATGGTTGCCCTAAATCCTTTATTAACTATTGAAGACGACCAATACACACACAAATATTAATTTTCTTTGAATTTGATTTTAAAATTAAACATTAAATCCACTAAGTAGTCCTTGCACTGAGTGCTACTTTGATGACTTTGGAAGTCAAAAAAGGCCGCAGAATGAGTTCCCATATTCACATGGCATTTTTTTTTTTATTTGAGCAACCATGAGATTTGGTATCAGGAAGGGAGCTATTTTAATACCCACCATACATGAAGAATTTGGGATCCAGTGACAGGGAATGATAATCTGAGGCTCCACACCTAGCTTGTGACAAAGTCAGGAGTAGCATCTAACATACATTTTTTTTTTATTACACCTCACTAAATTTGATATTTTCTTTTGGATTTCCTGCTTTCCCTCCTTATTAAATAGGAAAATAAATAACAGCTTGAATGTAGACATGTGGTTATGATTGTACATGCTGGCTGAACTTAATGAAAGTTTTGATGAGGCAGAAATATATCATTAACTGGAGCATTGATTTCCAGAATCAACTCTATTAAAATCGTTCAAACAATATTTAGAAAATATATTTTTTTCTGAGGTCAGTAGATTATGATTCAGTAGGTAAAGGGTAGGACCTAAGTATTTCTATTTTTTAAACAAGCTTTTGAAATGATTATGATGAGTAGCCAGATTTAGAAACCAGTAAACAAATTCAAATACAAGATGATTTACAGTGACCTAATGAATTAATCAGCTTTCTTGTGTTATATACCTTTACCACAAAACCTTAATTTTAATGGGAGGAAAGAAAGGGGGAAATAATTTCCTGTTTTATTTGCATAAACTTGTCCTTAGCTCATCTACTAATATTAAATATAGTGACTATTCCTTATAACATTTGTGTGAAGTAGGTAAGAATCGGTCATCTCATCATAGAGTAGGAGAGAGGGTGCCATCCTAGCCTGAGGATGGATTTGATTCAACAAATATTTATAGGGCACCTACAGATGGGATGCTCAGGAGATTAGAACCTTGGCCCTGCCATTAATTGCTGGATGATGTTGAACAAGTCTCTTCAGCATGCTGATCCTCAGCTTCCTCATCTTTGAAATGAGTGGCTTGCATTACAGAGAGAAACACAGACAGATGGTTGTCTTGAGACATCTTCCAGTTCTTCTATTCCTTTATGATTATTGAACAGCCCCTTGGAGGAACCCCAACTTTTCCTGTCTGTACTGGAGTTAGATGACTTTAAGATAGCCACCTACTGTGTGATATCATCTCAGGAGTGGTATTTGTCCCTCCTTTATAACTTCTCATGGTAAAATGGTGGCAGTAAGCAACAATCCCACCTCCTTCTCCTTACTTAACACTGTGTACCCATTATATGGGAGTTCTGGGAATTATATAATTAGTATAAGTGTGAGCATCTAGATAAATCTGTAAGGTTACATTTTGTCCTACATTTTTGAGAGACATAATAAAAATATTTTCTTATGTAATTGGCAGCATAAAACAGTATCTTTTAAAATCTGTTTCTTTTATTACTATTAAGTATAAAACTTCTCTCCGCCCCAACCCCCACACACACATTTTGGCCGTTTTTCTTTTTACCATTTTTTTTAAAAAAAGATTTATTTATTTATTTATACAAGCATTGGGTATAGTCAGAAGCGTGGGAGGGTGAGAGAATTCACCAGAGCCAGAGTGGGGAACAGAACAGGCAGACCGATGAAACACTGCTGAGGGGAGCAGCGGGCGCGGCAGGAGAGGTCTATTGCACCATGTGGGACCCTCCTTGGCGGCCAGGGATCGAACCAGCACTGCAGAGGCTGTGGGCAGCTTCGCAGCCCAGCGCTCAACTGCTGCACCACCAGGGGAGGCCCTCTTTTTACCTTTTAATGCTTGTTTTATGCATTTGAATTAAATTCTTTGCCACATTTTCAGCAAAAATTTTCCAGTTGCTTGTTAGCCTGTAGCAAATATTTTGGAGCATTTTTAATGTCCAAACTACATAAAGACTAGAGAAAGTAAATACCAAAAGTATGTATGTAACTGGTTAGTGTGAATCTTGTCAAACAAATCCTGAAATAAAACTATTAATTTCTAAACAGTTGATTTTAGTAAATTAGAACTTTCAAATTTCACCAGAAGTGCTTGTGAGTTTAAAATGTATCTGTTTGAAGAAATGCTTAGATAAATTAAGCCACTGATTTTTAGGACATAATACATGCCATGTTCTGTGTTAGTCATTTGTGTAATAAATTATGAGGGTAACCAAAGACTGATGTAATATCACAGTGTACATCATGCCAGCTGCCTTTTGAGTACTGTGTCCACAGAATATTCTGTCAAGTGCAGATTATTAGACTGGAATGACCATAAGCCTTTCCTGCTGTAGCATATTTTATGTTATGCTTAAAAGATTAAATGAGCTTTATATATTTGCTGATCTTTTAATATATTTGGTGATCTTTAAAAACAAAGTAAGATAGTTTAAAAACCCCATTATATGTACTATAAACTTATAAAAAGGATTATTTTAGAATTCTACATATTGCAGAAAAGTGATTTAGAATCAATTCCTAAAACTGATTGACTTTAATCTCATTTCCCCCATTTTAACCTCAACTAGTTCTCAGGTGCTATTCTGGTAGACAAAAATGTTAAAAAGAAGGAAATGTCCTTTGACTCTTCAAATCAATTGACATACTGAGACTGAGTTAATCAGGGGGCAAAGATTTGTGGGACTGTTCATTTTTGGTAGTTGCAAAAGGATTTTAATTTTAATTTTTCCTTAATAAATAAATATGGTTCATGGATAGTGTCATTTTTAAGTGGAATATAGAGAAACTGGACAAAGAGTCAGACAAAGCCAAACTTTAAAACTAACCCTTGAAAGCTGACCACAGACCTGAAGCATCTAGAGGGGGATGGGAAGCACACCATGGGCTATGGTGGAGGTCTATTTTGGTGATGGGAAAGCAATGGTGACCACACCCGAGAAGGAGAAATGTAACACTGTCAACATACTAGCAAGGATGTAAAACAATGGTCCTTCGTTAAATTAAAGAAAGTTAATTTTTTAAAAAATCTGGATAATTTTGACAAGAGACCCCCAGCACTTACTGCTTTTGGTCTATACTTACCAATCATTACTTCCTTAACATTTCTTTGGTTTTGGTTTTTTTTTGTTTGTTTGTTTTTTTAATAGGAAGAGGAAGATCTGTGAGCTCTACGCCAAAGTGTTGGGATCTCAAGAAGCTTTACATGTGAGAAACTCAGCTTTAATCCCTACCAGGTTCTGCTCTGTTTGTTCCCAGTGGTAAAGCAAAGCAGATTATGGTTTCCTGACGGTCTTCTAAAGAGAGAGTGCAAAGGGATGTGCTCACTGAAGGATTAACTTCAGTGACCAAAGGCCATTAAAAGCTGCTGTCAGTTGCATGTAATTTCTGATGCATGGTTCCTTGGGCTATTTAAATGTTCCCTGGCTAACTAGCAGCTGCTTGTAATCAGAGCCTGGAGCTACAGGTTTTGTCTCCAGGGCGGTTGAGATCATTTTCCAGAACAGAGGTTCTGCCCTCCTGTCAATGTCAACTGAATGCTATGAAATAAAATCCCAGATATGTTATCATTTGTTGGTGAAGGCACAGTAGTATATCCTTGATGAGATAGACTGAATCTGGACTCTCTGCCCAGGTCAAAGTCATAATAATTTATTTTTCCATTTGTAGACTTAATTCACAGCTCATTTAGGATTTTCAGTGCTTTCAATCAACCACTGAAAGAGATGATGAGAATAAAATTCTTTCTAAAGAACCTACCACATAGCTGGGGGCTCTTCTGGGGATTTATTTCTGAACTGTTCAAATAATAAATTTGCATAATGTGTTAAGGAAATCAAAGTATGTTCTCTCATGACCCTTGGGAGGAACATTTTTCATCTTAATGTTCCTTCTTAGGATTTCCATCATTCAGTTCTACAGCTTAGAGAGTGGTTTGGAAAAAAGCTTTTCTTACACACTGTGCTTATAGCTCCTCCCTTCTACTCTTTACTCAGCAGAAATGCCTCTATAGATAAGGAAATAAATTTGCTATTTAGAGAATCCAGAAATTTGAGCAGACCTTTCCAGAACCTGATTGTTGATGGGGTTTCCTGAAACCTTAACTCTAAAGATACAGACTCTGGGTGAAGATGCCTTCTCTTCCAGTTAAATACATCATGTCTCCACAATTCCAGCTGTTGGTAGGGTTGCCGTACATGTTTTGTTACTTGGTGCCTCACAAAGGCCATGAATCACTTGCTGCTGTCATGTTTCCCATTAGCTAGAAAAACAGGGCCATCTTTTTCCTTAATGTAAACTTTGTGTTAAACACAAAACTTCATTGTTGACTAGCAGCATTTAAGCTTTCTTTATAACTTTTTCTTTCCTCTGACTGTAGCCGGTACATTACGAAGAAAAGAACTGGTGTGAGGAGCAGTACTCTGGAGGCTGTTACACCGCCTACTTTCCACCTGGCATCATGACTCAATATGGAAGGTACTCACCAGACCCCGCACCAGTTAATGCAAGACATGCACCAAACTTAGAGTAGTTGTTTAGAATTTTACTTATTTAATTTGTCAGTTGTTTACATGTCTATATAACTTTGGGGTTACATTTTTACTCCTCCATATGGCACATGTTTCACGCACCCCTTACCAAACCACCTGTGCCAATAGAATTTTAGAAATAGTAGACACTATTCCTGTTTCTTTTTTTTTTTTTAAAGAGGCATGTATTTTATTTATTTATTTGTTTGTTTGTTTGTTTGTTTTGTTTATTTGTACATGCACTGGGTACAGTCAGAAGCGCGGGAGGGTGAGAGAATTCACCAGAGCTAGAGCGGGAGCAGAGCAGGCAGAAGGACCGAAGTACACTGCTGAGGGGAGCAGCGGGTGGCAGGAGAGGTCTGCGTGCCATGTGGGACCCTCCTCTGGTGGCCGGGGAGCAGCCGGGGATCGAACCGGTGCCGCAGAGGCTGCGGGCAGCTTCGCAACCCAGTGCTCAACCGCTGCGCCACCGGGGAGGCCCAGACACTATTCCTGTTTCTAATGACACGGAGAGTCAGATTATATATTTTTGGATATCTGTAGATGTGTTTGTGTTGGTACATAGAACAGTATCTGTCAGCACATAGAACAATAACAGAATACTGCTGGGGATTTCAGATGTCAGCAATACATGTGAGAATTCTGTAAGTCGTGGTGTCCTCCAAGGGATGTCTCCACTGCATACTGTTCAGGTGTGAAGAGGTTATCTCCACAAAGGGTCAGGGAGTCCACCTTGGCTTAAAAGTCCCATGCCTTATGGGAGCCATTGTCTCGTATAAAAGCCTCATAGTCACAGTGTCTAGGGTCCTTATGAGAGACATGCCCAGTCCAAGAGGTGCCACACTCAGGGAAGTCCAAAGTGATAGCCTCCCACTAGGCATTTACAATTCATATGCAGTTGTTCCTGCCCAGGTGCCAATGTGGGGTTTGGGGGAAGCTTATTTAGGATAAGTGGTGATTCTTGGTAACTTGGATGGTATTATACCTTCATCAGGTTTCTGGAGGAATAGTACTAGAGAATTAACTCACGATCATATTTGTCTATGGAGAAGGAAGGAGGGTTTGGTAAACCTTTCCTTACATGAACTTTGTCTTTTGGTTGATTTTTCTTAATTGAATCAAATAGTCTTTGTTAGTGATAGCAGGATTAATTGACTGGAGTTGTTCTGGAATCAGAGTAGAAGTCTAGAGGATGGGGCGAGGATCAGGAATAGATGAAGTCAAAGATTGCTGAATTGGAAAAAGGTAATGTTGGGTTGAGGCGAAGGCCTATGAGGTGGAGATGTTCCAGCTCGGGAGATTTCATAAAAGTGGTACAGATGAGGCAGGGGAAGCTTGGAATTGCTCTTTCAGCCCAGCCTTCCTGGGTTCTCTTTATCAAGACCTCTTTGAAAGAGGAGAGCCATTTTACCTGCCCTCAGCCAATCTCCAGGTAATTTCATAGAAGACTGTACAGAGGTTGCTTCTAATTTTTTTTATAATTTATTTTTTTATATCTTTTACATCATTATGTATTTCCCATAAAATTCCCACCAACAGTTCACCCATGGACCATCACCCTAGCCCCTTGTGCTCCTCTCCCCTGTTTTGATCCCCGTCCCTCCCCCTCCCTCTCAGAATGTCTCTGATTTATGGTTGCCTGCTAGTTTTGTTTTATTATTATTATTATTGTTGTTGTTACTTTTTTCCTGATCCCTTATTTGGTTCCCTTGTATTCTTTTTATAAGTGAAACCATTCAATATTTTCTTTTTCCTTCTGACTTATTTCACTGAACATGATCCCTTCTAGCTCCATCCATGCTGCTGGGAATGGAGTGAATTTATCTTTTTTGATTGCTGAGTAGTGTTCCATTGTGTATATGTACCATATCTTCTTGATCCAGTCATCTGTTTTTGGGCATTTGCGTTGTTTCCATATCTCACCTACTATAAATAGTGCTGCAATAAACATAGGGGTGCAGGTATCTCTTTGAATTAATGTTTTTGTGTCCTTTGGGTAGATTCCTAGGGGTGGAATTGTTGGGTTATATGGTAGCTCCATTTTTAGTAGGTTGAGGACCTCCACAGAGCTTTCCATAGTGGTTGGACCAGTTTGCACTCCCACCAGCAGTGTAGGAGAGGTTGTTTTTTTAAAGAGACAGACATATAATCATTTGGGTCTCTCCTTTGCTAGAAGTCAGTTACTCTCCCCATCTTCTCACTCACCAATGTGGTTCCTCCTGATACCTTTGGAGTGCCTGCATCCCTGGTGTCTGGTTAGATGTGATCTTACAAGGAATACACTGCTTGGAAAACAGTGTAGAGAGCAGAATTGACTGCAAATAGTTAATACACAGCAAATATATCTGATTGTGGATTTATATGCCATTCTGGCTAGCTTGGAAAGGTCAGCATCACTTTTAGTGATTGATGATCTGACAGTCTGAGTCTCTCTGGCTTGAAAGTTCATATCCTTGGGTGCAGGCATAGGAAACAAGGAGGGACCTTTCTTTCTCCTTTGACTGAGTTACATGGGTGTTTTTGAAAGGAGTTGAGTTTCCTGATCTGCTGTTGGGTAAATGAGGAACAAGGATTGGCTCATTTACTTGCAGCGCCTTCCCAAGTAACTGTATGTGTCTGTTGTGTTCCCTTCAAGGGTGATCCGACAACCAGTAGGTAGGATTTTCTTCGCCGGTACAGAGACTGCAACACACTGGAGTGGTTACATGGATGGAGCCGTAGAAGCTGGAGAACGGGCGGCTAGAGAGGTAAAGGAAGGAGCTGTCTCACTCTGAGTCTGGCATCTGGTCTTTCTAGATCTGGACACTGGTAAATCTGTATATATCACTTCTTTGCCCTTCACCCCACTCATGAGGCTCATCTGTTATCAGCAGGGTCTTGAATCCATGAAAACTACACTTCATTTCATAATACCGTGACTTTTCCTTCCAGGTCTTGAATGCTTTGGGGAAAGTAGCAAAGAAAGACATCTGGATCCAAGAGCCCGAATCACAGGTACATTTGGTGGGTCCATGACATCCATAGACCAGTAGCTAACTGCATGTAAAACTCCTCTCTCATCTTCTAGCCTCTGTTGTAATTATAGGTGCCACGCTCCAGGGCATGTCAGTGCATTGATTTTACAGATATGGTTTGCCCCTCTTTGTCAGTGCAAGAGGTTTCTGCTAATGATCTCTGTTTATCCATCTAGGATGTTCCATCCATGGAAATCACTCACACCTTCTGGGAGAGGAATCTTCCTTCAGTGCCAGGCCTCCTGAAGCTCATTGGATTTTCAACATCAGTAACTGCCCTCTGGCTTGTGCTATACAAATTCAGGCTACTGACACGATCCTGAAGCTTCATGCTTATGCTTTTCGCTTACTCTTTTCTGACACCATCAAAAAGAAAATCTTGACAAAGTCTGTGTCCTTGGATCATCTTTAAGTCACAGACTAACCCTTCAGTTTAGTCTCAGTCACTGCTAATGTAAAAATAACCTGAAGACTCACCTCATTAGATCAATTTCCATATTGCTAATTGTGTAACTAACTTGTGCTGACTGGTGGAATAAACCTTACGACTGACTTCTTAATTTCAAGAAGCTAAAGTTGAAGTGTGTATCAGCAGAATTTTTTGTGTCCTGTGTTTCTCCCCTTTAACACCAAATGCCTGGTGATAACAGAAATGAAGCATTTATCTTTCTCTCTGTAGAAGTTGAGTAGTTAAGACCCAGCTTGTGTGTCCTTTTAAGTCCTTCGGAAATTTTGAAGTGTAGGTCTAGAGCTCAGAGGCTCACAACTTTCTGGGTGAGCAGCTCCTGCTTTGAATGAGGGAACAGTAAATGAAAGCCATGCAGGTAGGCCAGTAGGGAAACATCTAGTAGGCCACTGCCTCAGGATTTCCTGACCGGCCACTTCTAATTCCATTGAAATTTCTAGCTATCTATCTAGTCTGAGCACTGGCTTGTTTATGTTTTCCTCTTTTGCTTCTTAAAGGGGAGAGTATTTATCAAGGTATAGTGTTTAAATTGACGGGCTGTGATTTTTGTGCAGCTTCCCAGATGAGCAGAGTAAAATAGCGGCAGGGCTGTCCCTTAAAAGGCCTCCCTGACCAGCTCCACATGAGACCAGCTGCAGTGGCTATCTCCTCCTCCTCTTGGAAGGTGGCTGGACATCACTGCTTATCACCAATATTAGCATCTCTGCCAATTTCAGATAAGCGGTATTTTCCTTTGTCTTAGGTATACCCTGGCTGTCTGAAATTCCCTAGTAGCATATATATTTTCTTTTTTCCTAAAACTATGGTAGAATTAGGCAGATCTTTTCATTTAAATATGTCTTCAACATGTTTACCTTTAAATAAATGTTAGCCTGCCAATTTCAAATAAGTATTGAAATACACTTGATAATATTTCTGATTACTGTTTGTTGAGATGTGATCAGATGCAGAAAGGAAAGGAAATTCAGACTCTCTAGTGTAGCCTAACTTGCTTTAGTTATCAAATTTTATAAAAGACATGAAACATGTTTTTATATATGAAGGCTAAATTCTCTATCTTAGGAGTGACATGGGCCCAGAACGGGGCCTACCTCTCATCTTTCCTATTTGAAAGCTGTCAGATTTTTAAAAGTCCATTCCAAAGATTTCAAACATAAAATGCTTCTCTTTAATATAAATGTCTGGGATATTCAATACATTTGTGATCAAATAAAGCAATTGAAAAGATTCAGCAGATTTGGGCACACAGGTGCTAAATATGCAGTCATATCTTATCCCACATCGTTGATGAATAAGACATTTCATTTTAAATGAAGTTTCTGGAGAGCTGAAGCTTGCTCTTTTATGTGCCAAAATTTTTAAATAAAAAATGTAATGGACATATTTCCAATACAGTTAAATAAGCTAGATTCAAATTCATCTTTTTTTATTAATCATGCCAATCATTGTGTGTCTCAATTTTTTATACCTTTATAATGGAGTGACACCATTGTGTTTTCCCCTATAGTAAATGTTGCTTAATTGTTTTGTAGGTGGTAAGTCTAATGCTTTTCCTGTCTTCTCCTGCATTCAGTTTTTTATTTCATATTCTTGTTATCTCTATTATTTCCTAAGACTTCTTAATCTCCTATTTTTTATATAATGGGAGTTAAAAATTGTCAGAAAAAAACCAACCCAATTTTATTATATAACTAACTCTATCGTAAATTCAAAATTAAGTCATTGAATCTTTATGTGAGGACTAAAGGTATTCCAAAGTTTTACCTACCTAAGAGAGAACTTTTCTGCCACTCTTTATCTCGCAATTGAAAAGTACTTTAGCTAACTTAGGGGTTTTATTAATTTCTTTGAATATGCGCCAGTCCATAAGGAATTTCTGCTTATTATATAGCAAACTGCTTTGAGAAATCACATCCCTGATCTATTTCAGTTGTTTCTGTTCATTTACTGATTAACTCAGTTCTGACACACCTTTTGGGAAATACTGATTTAACTTCTTAACTGACAACAGTTTTAACACTAATGCATATCTCACTAAGTCTTGATGGTTGAAGGGCTCCTGAGTATGCAATTTACCTTCTTAAACTTTTCAGGAAGCCAATTAATTTATCCAAGTTAGATTAGCCCTGTTAAGCTATAGATTATCAAAATGAATGCCAGTACAGATATGCCTAGAAATGAAACGAGCAGAGGACTCCCACCATGTGTGAGGTTGTCTAATACCATCATCATCAAATCAGTTTAAGCAGCGGATAGAGCCTGAATCACTTCACAATTTTGGAAGGCTGAGTTGGCCTCACTCCATAGAAGGTGGAGACTTAGATTTTAAATGTGAATGTTGTTGTCAAAACTGTTAAGTAAGGACTTGTACAACACTGAAGAAAAAAATGTCTGATTGTGAACTATGTTCAGTTTGATTGTGAACTTGGTCCTAATGTTTTATTTGAAACATGCCCAGTGCTACATGTGGGAATACGCATATGTGTGTGTGTTGCCACAGAAGTATGGTTTTGTCTGTATGGTACTGTTTTGTTTGTTAATAAAGTGCACTGCCAACCTCGATTCAGACCTGGCTTCTCTATTTGGTTGATGGTTTGAAGGTTAATTGGCTTCTTATAGCAGGCGATCCCAAGGAGGGGTCCATCCATCCATGGAGGATGGACTTAAAAAGCCACTTGATATTTTCATTGTTTGGGTTGACGCTCATGATTCATCAAGGTTTCCTGAGAACTGACTAATGCTAGAATTTTGTCATCTGGCCACAGAAGACGTGGAATCTAATAGAAACTTTCTCACCTGATAGGCTTTATGGTACCCTGAGCAAATCACTTTGGTTCTCTGTCTCTCAGACTCATCTGGAAAAGGGTGGGTTGCACTTGGTGATGTCTAAGATTTTTTTCATGGCAGCATTATGTGATTGAAGCATTAGTTGCTGACATTCTGCCTGTTAGTGTGACAAGGGAGAGTCGCTCAGCTTTTCTGTGTCTTGGTTCATTCCTTATCTGAGGTTGGTTTCCCTGGAATTAGACCGACATGCAGAGTCATGGCAGAAAGTTTGTTGGGCACAGCTCTCAGGTAATACACCTAAGGGTGTGGAGAAAGCAGGATGGGGCAGGAGTTGACCCGCAAAGCAATTGCAAATGAAGCCTTGGCAAATCCTGAGCGGATTGCTGGGAAGGCCCTTCTGAATTAAATTACCTCCGACTGAGGAAAGGAGGGTGGAAGGCCTTCTGTGTCCCTTCATCAGTAATCCCCTGGAAGGTGGTGTTCCCTCGCTGAGGCGGGTCCAAGGACAATTCCTCTTGAGGAACTAAGCAGTGAACTGAGATAAATTTACATTTCTAGCACTTGTGGGGTTCAGGAAGGGGTACGCACTTTATTCTATAGAGTTGCCCTTTGTACTATAAAAGATACCATGGGCTTGAACTTTGGTTTTATAGATAGACTGTAACAACTTTGTGAACCTATCCCTGTTAGGTAAGGGAACTGCCTTTATCAGATTGTATTTCAGTGCTATTGTTTAATTTTTTTTGTGAGATACCATTATTTACAATATGTTTCAGGAGTACAGCCTTCACACCCCCATAAACATATATAACATATCACAGCCACCACTAAAATGCTGGTTAACTATGTTCCACTATCTAATCACCCCTTTCCACCCATTCCTCTTGCCTCCCTTCCATACCGCTCTGGTAGTCACCATTTTCTTGTCAGATTCCAAGGGTTTGTGTTTGTTTTGTTTTGTTTTGTTTTTTTCATTTGCTTTTTCCTTTTTATTCCATATGTGAGTGAAATCATAATGATATTTGTCTTCTCTTTCTGACTTCACTTAGCAGAATCATCTAAAGTTCTATCCATGTTGACACAAATGGCAAGATTTACATTTTTTATAGGTGAGTTATGTCTTATAGTGTTTGTGTATCACATCTGAATCCACTCATCTGTCAATGGGCACTCAGGTTGTTTCCATGTCTTGGCTATTGTGAATAGTATATTTCTGCAGAAAAAAGCAGAATTAGAGGAAACTCTGGAAATAGTTCAACCTCTGTCTCAACAAAGTAACCCCCTCTGCCGGTTCACTAATAGAAATTTCAAAGGGGATAAATACATTTATGAGCTGTACTCTTTACAGTTCCAAGGCAGGTCTCACAATGACAGCCGGTATGAACTATCTGTCTTAGCCTGGAGCCAGGTTTCTAAAGGAAGATTTGGGGCCTTATGTGAAAAAGTTGTGAGGGAACTTGGAGAGCCTTCAAAGTGGTTCAAGGCACATGTAACCATATAAGAGAATTATGTACACTATAGTTACATATCAATGGGAATGTAGTTTTCCTTTAATGAGTCTCATACTTTCTAAGAACCACGGAGAGAGCCATGGGTAAAATGGAGTGGAGTGGTGTGGGTGAATGCTCGGGCAGTGCTGGAGCCAGCAAAAGACAAAGGAAATGGGAGGAGGCTATTTGAAGAGCAATACGATGTGATTCTTGACGAGTTGGTACCCACCAAAGAGAGTAGGGCACCCCTGCACTTTGTGTCATTTTTTTTTTTTTGAAGATTTATTTATTTATACAAGCACTGGGTACAGTCAGAAGTGTGGGAGGGTGAGAGAATTCACCAGAGCCAGAGCGGAGAACAGAACAGGCAGACTGACGAAATACACTGCTGAGGGGAGCAGCACGCGCAGCAGGAGAGGTCTGCGCGCCATGTGGGACCTTCGCCAGCCGGGACTGAACCGGCACTACAGAGGCTGCGGGCAGCTTCGCAGCCCAGCGCTCAACCGCTGCGCCACCAGGGGAGGCCCCACTTTGTGTCATTTACCCTATACCTGCCTCTGGGAAACCATGCTGGGACTCAGATACCTTCCTTATAGAGTTGATGGGAAAAGTAAGATAATGTAGGGAAGGGCTTAGCAAAGCAAGCACTCAATATTAGCTGTTATTCACCAGCAAAATTCAAATAATTTTAATACAAATAAGTATACAATTATGTACATTTGAATATCTACAGAAGAGTAAAAATGAGTAAGTCTGTTCAAACAATAAAAGCTGACAATAAAAAAATTATTGTTGGGCCTCCCCGGTGGTGCAGCGGGTTGAGTACAGCGCTGTGGAGCTGTCCGCAGCCTCTGTGGCGCCGGTTCGATTACCGGCTGACCAGAGAGATTCCCACATGGCTCAGCAGACCTCTCCTGTCTGGCCCGCTGCTCCCCTCCACAGTGTATTTTGGTCCTTCTGCCTGTTCTGCTCCCTGCTGTCTCTGGTGGATTCTCTCACCCTCTCGTGCCTCTGGCCTGTACCCCAGTGCTTGTATGAATGAATAAAAAAATCTTAAAAAAAAATTATTGTTATTGAAGTGCCATTATTTTACATCCTTGCTAGTGTTTTGACAGTCTAGGATTTCCTGCTCCCTTGTGTAGTCACTGCAGCTCTCCTACTGCCGAAGCACCATAGCCCTCCACCACAGTCCATTGCTTTCATGCCTCTCCCGTCCCCTTTCCCTCTGAAAGCCAAAGATCAGTGGTCAGCTTTCAAGCGTTGTTTGTAAAGTTTGTCTGACCTTTTGTTTGGTTTCTCTGTCCACACGTAAGTGACACCATCCGGTATTTATCTTTCTCCTTCTGGCTTATTTCACTTAGCATAATCCCTTCCAGCTCCATCCATGTTGCCACAAATGACATGAGTTGATCATTTTGATTGCTGAGTAGTATTCCATTGAGTATATATACCACATCTTCTTGATCTACTCATCTGTTTTGAGGCATTTAGGTCGTTTCCATATCTTGGCTATTATATGTAGTACTGCTATAAACATGGGAGTGCAGGTTTCCTTTTGATTTAGTGTTTTTGTGTTTTTTAGATAGATACCTAGGAGTGGGGTTGCTGGGTGTATGACAGATCCATTTTTAGTCTTTGAGAAACCTCCATAATGCTTAAACAGAAAACTCCATCCACCATTTGCTCCATCCACCATTGCTCACTGTCAGTCATTTTAAATTTTGTGAACATTTACCAATTTTAACAATCATTCAACACATACTTACTGAGCACTTACTATGTGCTGGTAGGACATGAGGATACGAGATTTCAGGGAAGCCTCCATAAGCACCACTGTGTGGCAAGTATTGATAGGTAAGCACACTGCGTAGACAGATAATGGTAGAAAAAAACTAAAGATGGTATCTTAGGCTTTAAGGCTGCTAGAACAAAAAGGCCACAGACTGGGTGGCTTAAAAATAACAGACATTTATTTCTCACAGTTGCAAAGGCTGAAAAGACCAACATCAAGGTGCTGAGATTCAATGTCTGATGAAGACCCGCTTGTTAACTTCATAGATTTCCATCTTCTCCATGTGTGTCCTCAAGTGCTGAAAGGGTTGAAGGAAATTTCTAGGGTCTCTTATAATATCACTAATACCATTCACGAAGGCTCACACCTTCATGGCCTTAATTTTCCCCCAAAGATGCCACTCTAATACCATCAGTTTTGGCGATAGAATTTTCACATTTAAGCTGGAGAAGTGGGGGAGAGCACAAACATACAGACCATAGCAAATGGCAAGGCTAAATGGCAAGGAAAATCACAAGCATCAGTAACAGTGCTGAATGTGAAGTCCCCTTTACTCCATCCACTATTGCTCACCGTCAGTCCTTTAGTCCTGTCTGCCCAGCCCTTCTCTTCACTGGAGATCTGAGATCTCTGTCAGCCAGGGCTCTCCATCTCTCAGCACCATGTAAAGAGGCAGCCGATATTTGTTTTGAAAGAGTGCCATCTTCTGGCCAAATGCTGCTGCTTCCTTCAAGTGGAAATCCCAAAGTATTAACAGCTTAGTCTTGGGAGGAAACTAAAAGGTGTCACATCCCACCCAGAATTTCCTCTAAACACATTTGTCTGCACTCTCTTTCTTTCCTGTTTTGATATGGATCAAAAAATTAATATCTAATATCCACAGTTTTTCCTTTGCCTTAATCTCCCTTTTTGTTAGACTTTTTGTTAGAGTTGTTGGTTCCACAGCCTTTGTTGTTTCCATTTATGGAATGGGTGAGGTGGAAAATTGGTGGGGGTGTCTCCCTGGTGGTGCAATCACTATGAAGCTATTGGCAGCCACTGCAGCATGACTTTGATCCCCAGCCAGGGAGGTGACCCACATGGCGCAGCAGACCTCTCCTGTCTCTCCTGCTGCTCCCCTCAGCAGTGTATGTCAGTCTGCCTGTTCTGCTCTCCATTCTGTCTCTGATGAATCCTTTCACTCCCTCTCCACACCTCTGACCTGCACCCCAGTTCTTGTATGTATACATAAATAAGTAAAATAAATCTTTAAAAAAAAGAAAATTGGTGGGAGATGTGAGCAGTTGTATTGTTTTTGCCTTATAAGGGCAGGGAACCAATCTGGAGAAACTGAGACAAGGGGGTTGGAGAGAAGAGAAGTTTCAGGAAGTTAACTTGGGGCTATAGTGTTGCTAGAGAAAAGGATTGTTTTAAAGCTGCCTTTACAGTCTAAAGAGACAGAGAGCAAGGAAGCTTTGTAGGATTACAAAGTTAGGATTTTGGTTAGGATT